ATCATTTACTAAGTACCTACTTCTGGAATTTTTATCACTTCCCATGGTTGTCATTTAGAGAGGGAATACTGCTGAATGGTGAAGGACTGTACATACTGGTTAATCGAATACTCTCAATAATTCAATAAACTCTAAATAGGCCTATCTTACAATGGAGGCTCAGAGATGGGTTGGTGAGTTGCCTGAGGTCATTCAGAGTAGGATATAGGACATGACCCCTGGGTCCAACGCATTCTCTTTCTCACAGATATGCTGCATCAGCTTCCCCACTATGCTGGCAGAGAAGTCCAGCAACTCAGCAGTTATTAAGTCCTGAGAGCCATTTCTTGGAGTAACTGAAAATTCAAACCACTAGAAAAATAAGATCTGATGCATCTGGCCACTTCAAACTTAGAAGTCATTTCCACATATGCTGATGGGATGCACAGCAAAAGAATGTCACACATCTGGTGTCTTTCTAAGCCCCTTTTAAGACAGCTTCACAGGTAACGCTGGCTGCTGAAAAGTTCATCCAAGTAAATGGAACTTCCTCAATGGCTCAGCAGGTAAAAAAAATCTGCCTGCAATGCAAGAGACCCAGGTTTGATCCCTGGGTTGGGAAGATTCCCTGGAGAAGGAAACTGCAACCCACTCCAGTCTTCTTGCCTGGAGAATCCCATGGACAGAGGAGCCTGGTGGGCTACAGTCCAAAGAGGCACAAAGAGTTGGACAAGGCTGAGTGACTAAACATGACTTAATAAAACAAGCCACTTTTGGAAGCTCCATCTCTGCCACAGGAATAATGGGATTGGGAAATCAAGACCAAGGAGGAGGACCTCGTGATCCCTAGAAAGGCTTTAGCTATGACTCAGTCCTAGACTAACTGCCCACAAAGTCAGAGGCCTGGGACAGAGGCAAATCCCCAAGCCGGGTTTCTCCAGGGGCCTGCCCCCAGACCCGTAGCATAGCACCCTTCTGTACTCTGCCTAGAAGCTTACTCCACCACTCCTCAGACTCACCAGAACTTAGCACGTGGAAAAATCATCTGCTGCTTCTATCTGTGACTAAGGGGAACTTTTCATGGCTAATTCTGACCCTGACCAAGAGGAATTAAATGCTGAATTTCACATTAGTTTCTGTGGCTTCCTTTCTTGTTTCAAACGCCCTTTAAGAGGCCCTCTCCTTCTCATGACCCACCCCCCAATCTTGGGCCACAGATGATGTCTCCAGCTTGGGTCAGGTTTCTACCACTGGCCTAAGGAAATCTGTGAACTGCAAGATAGCTTGGCCATTTTAGATGTATCAGAAGAGGCTGAGAAAGCTAAGCCACAGGAAAATAAATAAATAAAATAGACCCATAATGATAAGAACCTGACAGATTACAAAGTCCCACATGGATGGCAAGCTTAGTTCTAGATGGGAGTTTGGCCCTGTGTAGGATTTGCCAGGTCCCTGTACCCATCGCCACCCTTCACATTTTGGATTAGGCTAGTTGGAGCTGGCTTGCCTCTGGCAACCAACGTGACTATTCCCAACAGAGAAAGCACGTGAACTACTGAAGCACCTACTATGTGTCAGGTGCTAGACACACAGTAGCTACTATTTTAAAACACCTCACTATTTATTGTTATAAGGTCAATAGTTACTTAAGTTACTAACACAAGCAGATATTCAGTGGGACTTCCAAATGGCTTATGGATTTAAATTAATCAAACAGTACAGAAGTTCATGAACAATTTATATGGCAACTGCAGATGGAAGCTTAAGACAGTGAATTCAGTCTTCTATTTTTCTGTTTAAGTCTTTCACATTAAATAAATGCCTCCTTGATTACTGGAGAAAAAAATAATTATAATATTCCATTGAAGCTGAGAAATAAAGCAACCATTATTTTTTAAAAGATAAACATGGCTGATCTGCACTAATCATAATATTTTGAAGGAAATAAAACAATATTCAATATTTTTAGTCTACAAATAAATAATACCCTGTTTCACTTATTCTGTAAGCCAAAGACAAGTTTGGAAATGAGGATATTGGATAATGCCTATGGATTTAAGAGTATCAACCATGGTATTCAATTCTGAGGAAATTAAAGCATAAATGGAAAAACTGACTTAGTAAATTAATAGAAAAAAATGAACTTAGGAAAGAATGACATTTAAAGGTTTATATATAAACTTGACATGCTTCACTTGAGAGACCAAAACATTTTTCAAGTCCTTAATGATGAGAACAGCAGCAACATTCAAGACAATTAAAAACTGGCATTTAAGAAACTGCTGTATTGTTATGAATAAATGTAAGACAACAGTACTAGTGAAGCCCAAGAAAATCCCAGTTACAACTCCATTCAAGCCAATGAGCACTGGCTTTCCATTTCACTTTCCAATGTGTTCCCTTATTCCAGGTTTGAAATACACCTTCAGATAAGAGAATCTAGAAGAGGAACAGAGTTCCAGTGCATAGCTGCAGAACCAGTCTTGCTGCATTATAGTTACAGCACATAAACAACTACAACTGTTTCTAATCAAAACAGCAAAGCCAGGCTCAAGTGCACACCCTGTGCTAAATACATACTTGAATCATAAATTATGAATTATAGAAAAAAGACAAATAATGGCATAAAGGGCATGATAGTTTATTTTTTAAAAATTGTACCACACTGATCATAATGACCAGCATACACATTATGATGGCTTTTCTCTTGGGTATTAACATTGCAGTATTTTTGTATACTGAAATGTTTCAATAGGACCAAGAACGTTAGAGAGATAAAGATCTTAGATGAAAATGAATACTAATGATTCTGGTGTCCTAGCCCACAGAATTAATTTAAACCCCTTATGAATCAGTGGCATTATCGTGTTATGTAGTTCTGAAGAATGAAAGTTCTCTTCTAAATAGGCAGCATGAACCTATACCTTCTTGCTCTTTAATCTTTAGCTCTTACAATTTATACTATGTCCACCCTGGCCAAAGCACAATCATACAAGACACCTCAGATAATTTCCATGCTACCATTGCACAAGTTTAGTGATTTTTACTTAAACAAACAAAAAATCAAACCACTGTCAAAAAAAGGAGGCAAATAAAAATGATTTTCCAATCATTTGAAAAGCATAGTGCGTATCTGTCCAATACAGACTCAAACTTAAATTAAATGCTATCATTATCATCTCTAAACTTCTGCAATAAAATTAACATATATATATATATATGGGTTTCATTTATAGAACTGTATCTTGCAATCAACAGGAGAAAGTTATTTTTTTAGAGAACAATATATTTGGTTACAGTTCCACGTGTCGATAGTAGAGACAAAGCCACATGATGTTAAATCTGGCTCTAAGTTACCTAAGATATAAAATTTTGATCAAATCTGATCTTAAAAATTCAACCCATGTGAGATTACTTTTTCGAATAAATGTGCTATTGAGAAATCATTTTAATAACCTTCACTTTGTATGACTATCTGCAAATTGACCCTTTTCTTTTAATCAATGTGACTCACCAACATTTCAAACTGACCTCTTTACTTTTATGTTACCACTTGAATACCCAGGGATTTCTGAGGCAGCATAAGTTTGACTTCATTAAAAACAGTAGACACTTTAACCTTTCAGTGACAGTTTTTAAACCTGTAAACTCAAGAATCACATTATTGAGCTCAGCAACTATAAAAACATTGAGATTCTGGTACTTCAAACCAAAATCTCTTTGTGCTTTTTAGATTAAGCTGCTTTTGAATATTTTTGGTATTTATCAGTCATTTGTATTTCCCTTATAGTAATAAAAGAATATACTTAAAGTAATTTTTAAGGTTAAATGTCCTGGGGGCTTATCAATACTTTAAAAAAAATTACTTTTTTCCACCAGCATTTGGAATAGTAGAAATTATTTCTGGTCCCTCATTAGATCAACCAACATTACTTTTCATCACGTATAACACTGAATTTTATAGACATCCCTGAAAAGTTTTTGATTAAGTAAACAAGTGAATCACAGTGGAGTCTCAACCAGTTAACAGTGTAGATCCATTAAAAAACACACACACACACACTGAATATTAAAAGAAAAATTTCAAGCTAAAAAAGAAGAAAAAGAAAAGAAAACTCTCTTAAGAATTAAAACCGAGTGTGTATTGTCACTGATTCTGTGCTCGTGTCCCCAGCAGATTAGACCCCTTCTCCGGGTTGTAAGACATGTTCGATTAAATCTCCACGTCAAGTTTCCAGGACACTTGAGTGAAGAGACTAGGCTTACTGCAGCATCTAAGGGAACAGAGTGGCACCATCTTCTTCCCTAACAGACACCCTCTCTGAAGGTGAACATGAGTCTCCCTCCGCTGTGCTTGCCAGCATCGATCCCGGAGATAAAACTCGCTGGGCAAACTGATGACAGCGGATCCTCCCACCCTGCCCCCCGTGCCAACAGGAGGTTCCCAGCAGTTTGTCGTTATGTGCACTGGCCTTTCACTCTTTCCAGCAGAAAAGTTGTGGTTACTTTAAAAAGGGGGTAGGGGGGTGGAGAAATGAAAAACCAAGAGTCTAAAGGCACAAAGTCGCATAGCTGCTCTAGTTGGAGTTTGTAAACAGAGAATAGGCTGAATTTAGGTAATCCCAATCTATGAGAGTAAAAAGGCATCCACAGCAGGCTTTTAACCAGCCAGCTTCTTTGAGACCCTTCATGGGTTTTGAGGTCTACAAAGTATGCACTAAAATACCCATACTTCAAAAAGCAATAAGGCAAATAGTATACTCATTATTCCAAAAGTTACAATGGTAGTGTAGGCATACATAGTATAATTTAGTTACAATGTGTGGTACTGTTTCTATTATATAACCATATTAACTGCTTCTTTCCTACATAATTATATATTCAGCCCAGTTTCAGTTGAACACAAAACCATCCTTGTACCACTGCTGATAGTTGGCAATAGTTCTTTGATAGCAGTTTGTATTCTGCTGTAGAAATTATCCTTGAACTGAAAAAAAAGTCCACAATCCAACGTCCAGTCATTAAACACTATCATATTTGTGAAGAGCCTCTTCCAACTTCTGCGTCACTTTTTGGAAAAATATTATTTGTTGCTGTAAGAAATGCTGCATTTGTGATTTAAAGTCTCTTACTCGAATTTGATGGAAGTGGTGAATTTCAGCCAAAGTAGCAAAAGAAATAGTGTTACAGCGATCCTGAATGCCATCAGCCTTTTGGACTTCCATCTTCCCTTCTTCCACGTGTCGCCTACTCTCCTTTACTTTGGTAAGAGCTCCTGTAGTTTAAAAAAAAAATTAATTAAATACATATAAAAAAATAAAAAATACATATGTATCCCAGTGTTACAGCTACATAGTAAACAGAATGTTGGGCATTATAAATACTTGCCTGAACTATTTTGAAGTCCTTTGGCATTTAAAGGGGTGACTATAATTATTTATTGAAAAAGAAGAAATCTGGTAAAGTTTTTGAAAACACCTCCACTGCTACAAATTCACTTATCAAAACTAGCCTTTGCCATTGACCAAATAGTATGTTTCATCTCTTCCAACAGCAGAGATACTATTATACTACAGACAAAAAACTGCAAGAAAAAGACAAACCAAGAAACTCTGCAATTTTAACATTCTTAAGGGACAAAGTGTAACACCACTCTATGTGTGTGTGTGTGTATGTGTGTTTTTGTGTGTGTCTTAATCACTCAGTCACATCCGACTCTTAGCAACCCCATGGACTAGCCCACTAGGCTCCTCTGTCCATGGAATTCTCCAGGCATGAATACTAGAGTGGGTAGCCATTCACTTCTCCAGGGGATCTTTCCAACTCAGGGATCAAAACTGGGTCTCCCACACTGCAGTTAAGATTTTTTTTTTTTACCGTCTGAGCCACCAACACCGCTATATACACATATATTAAAAAGGTCATCTCTAAAGTGGAGCATACTGCATGCATGCCTGATTTTGACTCCGAGTTCTATCAGGGGATCCATACCTGTAGCATAATGGCCCTGTGCAGTAAACATATGTCTCCTTCTCTTTACAGGCTGTAAAGATCAGTGAGTGTTGAGTCTGCCCTAATGGTGACCTGGGAATGAAGCCGGAGGTGTCATAGCCTCCAGCCAAGAAACATCACCAGAGGATGTAGGCCTGGGAGGTTGGGGGTGGGGGGGGGGGGGCGTGGAGGATGGTTTCTGTGGCAAGCGCCACAGGAGGGCAGATCTTCCCCTAGAAGCACAGTCATAAAAAAAAAAAAAAAGCACAAAAGCCTGAGGATGCATAGGAGGCAGGAAAAATAAAGACTATTCATGTGTACTTAAAAATGAGTGATGATAAAGGTCAAATCACTTGAGCACAGCCAGCTCAAGAATCCAGATTCCTGACTCCACATGCATCCATTCTACTAAAGCATGATGAATACCATGATGAAACACTTAGGACACCTGGCTTGCTGGTCTGAGGACATGATGATGCTAAGTGGAGGGAAAGGTAGCCTGTTTAAAAGGCAGTGCGGAAGCTGAGCAACTTTGTTGTGGAAATGTTGTTTTAGCCAATGGTGAAATATACAAGGGAAAAGCCCTGTATCTAAATTTCTTCAAGTCTATAAAATAGAGTAAACCTACTATTAAATAAAATCCTTAAACACTGTTTTGTTGTTTTGGGTTTTTTTGCACAACTCAAAGACCTGAGAAATTAAAAATCATCAACAACAAATGTCACAGATATAAATGTACGTATGTTTGTATATTTTCATTTATTTATTCTAAAGAAGATCTTTACCTGAAAAGTGGGAGAGCCCTGGAGCAGAGAGAATACCCTGCTTCCCCCATGACCACACAGTGGAGATGTCGTCCATGGTAACAAGGCTACAGGAAGACCCCTACCCAATCCCTTAAGTAGCCATCACTTGAAAACGCGGCCCTATTAATATTTCCCCCACAGCAGACAAGACTCAAGAAGCAATGCAACCTGCCTGCCTATGGTCTACGTTAAACAGAGACCGCTCCTCCTCCTTAGAGACAGAAAAGAATAATTTCTTATAGTGAACTTATGTTCATTATATTTGTAGAAGTGTCATCGTTTACATATAAAAATTGAAGTTGAATAAACTAAGAAAGCATCAGACCGAAGACTAAAAAAGAAAAGAAAAAACTACCTAAAAGATGACTAAGAATGTGAAACTAAAAAATTTATGTTGAAAATGGTTGAGAGAGAGTGTGTTATTGTTTAGTTGCTAAGTCTGTCCAACTCTTTTTTTGCAACCCTGTGGATTATAGCCTGCCAGGCTCCTTTGTCCATGAGATTTCCCAGGCAAGAATATTGGAGTGGGTTGCCATTTCCTTCCTCAGGAGATCTTTCTGATCCAGGGAAGGAACCTGTGTATCCTGCTGGCAGGTGGATTCTTTACCAAGCCACCGGGGAAGCCCAAACAAGGCATCAAGAGAGCAGAGTCTCAGGCGATCTGACTGTTCGTGCGATTCAGGGCCGAGGTGCCATTATTGAGCATGGAGGACAGGCGCTGGCGCCCTGCCCTGCACAGATCCCTGGGCAGCCGTGAAGCAGCTGGGTACTGGGAATATGCTGCGAGTGTCACTTGTTCTAATCACTAGAGTCCAGCACAGAGGAGCTCAGAAACCTGGCCCTGAGCAGGGCCAGTGTCAATGAACCTGCAGCTCATCAGCCTCCAGATGAGATCACCACCTTCTCAGAAACGACATTCTATGACACAGGCCTGCAGACATGCATCCATAAAAACCAATTTACAAATGAACAAGCCTGAAGTTTTCACAACCTGAATCACATCAGAATACATTTTCAAAATTCCTGGACACAGTACAAGTATTAAATCTCTCCAAGGCCTAAAGACCTTTTGGCATTTGTCACCTTGAAGCTTTCTGAGTGTACATACTAAAAAGGAGCTGTGAATTGAAGACCCATTTTTCTCCCAGCTGTGAATTTACTTTGTAAATAACACAGAGCCCTGAAGAGTTGGGCTTCTAGGGCAATAATCTCAGCTCATTTACCAACATTCGTGGAGGGCTTGGCTCCCCCAGTGGCTCAGCAGTAAAGAATCCACCTGCAATGCAGAAGCTGCAGGAGACATGAGTTAGATCCCTGGGTGGGGAAGATCCCCTGGAGGAGGGCATGGCAACCCACTCCAGTATTCTTGTCTGGAGAATCCCCAAGGACAGGGGAGCCTAGCAGGCTACAGTCGATGGGGTTGCAAAGAGTTGGACATGACTGAAGCAACTTAACACACACACAAGGACAGCATAGAGCTGGCAAGGGGGACGCACGTGGGGTGGGGGTGGGGGGCTCACACCAAGTGTTCAAGTCCCTATCTTCCAGAACTCTCAAGGAAGACAGCTCGAGAAAGCTCACTGAGGACAAGCACACAGCCGTGACATGAAGTCAAACAGCCCCGCAAAGCACGGAATTCTGCATGGGAGCTGACTATGGCTTCCTCCAAGATAATGTAATCGTGTCACAAGGGAAAACACTTGGAGGACCTGCTCTGTGCCAGGCGGTGCTGAGGACAAAGGGTGCCAGGGTGGGGGCAGGAATAAGCGTAGGTAACAGTAAATATATTTACTGTAACAGTCTAAAACAGTCATATATTCGAGGCACTTTCTGCGTACCAAGTCTAACCCTGCTGCAACCTGCTACAGACACTACTGCTGTTTTACAACAAGGAAACTGAGAAAGCCACCCGCATTCTTTGAGCCCCAAAGTCAGCAGGAACCCAGTAAGAGGTGGGAGAGATGGGACCTGAGTGCAGAACTGACTTCAAAGCAAACACCACAAATATTCAGAAAAGCAACTGGAGCCTGAAAAGGCAAAAAGGCACAGCGGCCTGGTGAGCAGGGTGCTGGGGGTAAGGGCAGGGGCTCCTGCCCTGCCCCCTCTCTTTTCACCTTCCTCGCTGGTCCCTGGCTTTTATGCTGTCATACACATCAGGAGACCTTGTGAGTATGTAAAATAAACCATATAGGTGTTGAAAATTTCCCTCTGGAATCTTAGTAACCTCATTCAACTCATTAATTGTGCCTGCAAAGCCATTTAATATTTATAAGATGTCCGATTTTCTTATCTTTGTAGCATACAATTAGGGTGCCACAAAAAAAACATTGAAAAGGCAGCACGTATTTCATTATTTTGAAAATTTAAACTCAAACTTATATGGGGGGTGGGGGTTTTGTCTTCCCCCCACCTCCCCCCTTCTCACCGATTTAGATCCTATTGGAAAATTATATAAGTCAAGAACTATCACCAAAACTAGTAACATACACTCCCTGGATGGGCTTTGCCTTTCTTTGCTCTAGTGCAGTTGGATAGCCCAGCCAAAAGTTATTTTGCAAAACAGGAAGAAAAGAACAAACCACTGAAGACAGTAAGTACCCAAAGGGCAATTTCACTTGGAATTTTGGTTTAAGGCACTTAATACAATTCAAATCTATCAGCATGATGCATCAGGACTGCAAGGAGCAAGGAAACAGGTGAAATATGTTTATTAGAAAGAGATATGGTTCCTATTTTAGGGACTCGAATTATTTTTTGAGGTGACAACATTTACATGCCTGAAACCATTAAAGACCATTAAAAACCATATACAAGATAGAAAATGAAGGTATTGAACAGCATTCTATAAATGTACAAACTGGTAGAAGGAGTGCTAGGTGTAATCAAGGAAGATTATGTCATCACAAAATTGGACCCATGAATTTGGAGCAAATTTTAAAACCACAACCTCTTTTAACTAAAATCTAGTTAAATTGGTTTCCCTCCAGACTCACCTTCTGAAGAAAGATGATTAACAAAAAAAAGGCCGAAAGCAATATACTTTTTGAAAAATCTAAAGAGTTTCTGAGTTGATAGCAATCCAGTTCTCTAGGCATCTGGCTGTTACATTTCAGGATGACAACCCAAAAACCTTCAACCCCAAGCCCCCCCAAAAGTAAGTTATCTTTTGTAAAATATTATTCACAGTTAAAAAATTATTTCCTTCAAGAAGAAAACCATTCTGTGTTTAAATATTCACCTCACAAGCCTCTGATTAGTTTTTCCCATACATTTTTTAACAAATACTAAGGGTTTAGTGTGTTTTCTTATGAGAAAGATAGAGCCAAATCATTCAATAAGCTAATTATGGAAGTTAATTAGTCTACTGTCTGAGAGTATACAGAAAAAAAGAAAAAGCCACGGGGGAACTGATGAACAGAACTATTTTCTGGAGATTCCCTGAAGCTCCCCTCTACCCTACTTCTACCCACTGCACTTC